ACTGGAGTTCACATACCGTTCCATATGCAGGTCTTTTTTATTTCCAACCAGCATAATAGGTATTCTGTGAAAGAAAGTTCAGAACTTCAGAACAGTTATAGTATACTGAACAAAGTACTAGTAACATGCCTGCAATGAAATGAGATGAAAGTGTCACTACTTACTGGACTTTTCCCACCATATCCAATAACTTGCCATGGATAACTTTTATCACTTCAAAACTGCAAAATAAAGGGATGAAGTCACACATGCACTCCAATGTTTATCCTTAATACCCAATACACAAGCAATTAAATGCATATGTAGGTTGCTGTGTTTAAAACTTACTCTACGTATAGTGGCAGAACTACAAAGATGCTGAAAGTCTTACCGATTTGTGTACAACAGACAAAATGATCCTCGAAGCAGCAAAGACCAGCCTATGCCTATCATTATAGCCTCCCCAGTTATGATACTTGCAGAAATAAATAGCGTTGCCCAGGACTGATGCATCTAGCACAGGATCACTAAAAGCCCCTCCCACCTCCCATCTGGCTTGTATCTGCAGTAAGATATTTAACTGCTACAGTCCAACAACTCTTGATGAGCATGTCAAATTAAAGCAGTTTCAAAGAAAAAGTATTAGTTAAGTACACTCCACCTTGAAAGAATACATTATTTTTCAGGAACACTTAGTTCATATAGAATTCTTTAATTTTATTTATGTGAAAGCCAAAAGAAGCCTAAATTCTAATATTCTGTGAAAAGTGAGTAAATTGATCTGCAAGATGGTATAGAAACAGTGGTTATTAAAATACACGTTGTCTGTTCACCTACCATGTACGTGAAGTTTGGATGACGGGAGATAAGAAGCAGTACTGTGAAATACCAAGAAGCCAAAAACCTCACTAACAAAATCCACTGCATTTGACATTTAGTACTTTTGAGAACAAGCTATAAATGTTGTTGAAGAGCAGATGTTGTGCTCCTCTAATTACAGTATGGAAAAAATGCTGGTACATGAAGTGCACAATTCAGATTTGTTTTAAGAGAGAGGCACAGGTTCACAGACGAGACACACAACTATACAACAAAAAAGTGACCGAAACTTTTCCAACTTCCAAGGCTGTTAGCGACAGGCAGTGCCTTGACTTGCACTGCATTTCAATTAGAATTGAAACTCTTAAAAATAGAGCAGCACTCAAACATACTTCCAACTCAGAGCCCTCAAAGAACTGGTGCCTAAAAACACTATTCAAGCTATTTGAATCATTACAACTTCTCACTTCTGGAACAATAAACGCTACCATATTTAAAAAGGATTTTCTGTCAAATAGGTCAATTTGTCTGACTTCAGCAGTAATTTTTGAGACTGACTAAAACACAATACTTCTCCATGTTCAGCTAATAGTTTTAGTATATCCTACCAGGAAAATGAGTTCTTTGCAAACAAAAGCATGACTTAGTCTGGCACAACTTACTATTAGTAACTCAAGTACGACACTACAGATTACCTAAAAATGTGGAATCAATGAAAGGACTTCAGGGTTACAAAAAGCTTACGCTGAAAAAGTATTAGTAAAATTCTGGTCTTGAGAACTTGTCTTGGATTTTCATTCTTGTAATTATTTCAAAAATAAGAGTTAAATGGAGGTTGGTTGTGACAAAGTTGAGAGGCATTACTACATGTAGAACTAGGTGACCCTGCAAACTGAAAGAGGAAGAAAAATACTACCAAATAAATTCTGCTACAGACCACAAAACTGTTTCTCAGTCTGAAGCAACAGGAAAGATCTAGCGTACTAGCCACAGGATAACTGAATCACTAACACAATGCAATCACTGTTTTCTTTCCACTATTAGGCCTGCTGTTCCCAACGCAGCTAGAAAAAGCCATGCCATGCCACAGCATCCCAGCAAGCCCTCACCTGAGGTTCCAGTGCACAATGCTGCAAAGTGTTCTTGTTCAACTCGGGCTCATCATTTCCCAATTCTGTGTATCTGCTTATCTAGTATAATTCACAAGCTCAGTTTTCAGTAAAAAGACCAAGAATGAACAGCCAGTATTTGTTAATAGATCAAGGTGGAAACCAAAAGAGGAGTGCTATTTAAACTCACACACAATTCTGACACAGAAACAAGTTGCTAAGAACTGCCAGGAATGAAATTGGCTTGACCAGATCAATTTAATGGTCTAGAAAGCTTTCCAAATTAATAAGGCTAGAAGGAGCAGAGGCAGAATTTAAGACGGATATTGACCAATCCAAAAAGAGTGTCATCAAATCAAGTCGTGAAACAGCAAGAGATCTGGAGACCATAAGAGGTCCTTTCCAACTGTAACAAGCAAATAGGATTACAGCAAACAGCTCCAATGTGTGAAATACAACAACAACAAAAAACTAGTCAGATAAACATGTTACACAAAATCATGGAACCTAGCAAGATACAAAATTGGAATTTAATTAAGCTGAACTAGAGCAAAAGCCTTCCAGTAACCTTGCTGCTGAGAGCCTGGGAATATGAAAAATGTAGGGCATTAGCTTTTACTGAAGTCCCATTTAAACTTCCCACTGGAGGTTAGCAGAGAAATGCCTTTTTAAAATTATCAAGTTTGCTGTCAAAGCTCTCACGCCTGCTGGATCAATACTCAGATCAATATACACACTGCGACAGAAGTCAAGACAGATGGTGACTCTAATTTGATTGCCTGGGCAAGCCATCTAAGCTACCAGAGTATTGTGAAAGATCCTTCCTATTGCCTAACACTGTCTTGATACAGAACATAAGGAACTGAACAAGACAGGATCATTGATACTTTCAAATTTAAAGGAAGAAACAAAAAACTTGGAATAAACAGATCAAGACTAATATACTGAGGAAAATACTATCTACCTACAGTCTTAACACACCTTGTTCTGTTAGTATTTTCACCATAATTTCGTTTCTATTGTAACTGATTGAATGCTACCACAGAAAACAGATTTTCATTTCTTTATCTGGGCTGCTAAGCTCAAGACATCGTAAGGCCAACAACTGGAATAGCTGAAAAAGAGCATGTCCTTTAGCTGCCAACCAGAGAAAAGCACAAGCTGCAGAAGCCTCCAAGGATCTACAGTGATTTTAGTCACAGACATTTTTGTCCTCACATTACCACTTCTCAATGAACATTTTTCCCTTCACTTTAGAAGTGGAGGAATGTCTACTTAAGGCTGAGAATACTAACTCCTATTTCATAGAAGTTATTCATCACCAGCAATGAAGCTCTAATTAAAAAAAGGATTTAGGTAGTTTATTATCTCTAGACACACATGAAAGCCTAACATCTGTTGCATCTCCTCCAGATCACATTTGCTTGCCCTTCACTATTTCAGAACTAAAGATGAAAACCAAGAATGAAGGACTGCCAAAACCTGTTCAATATTACAGACCTTGCAAACAAGGGAAATTTATAGTCAGACCGTATCCTTTCTTTGAGAAGCACAGAAGAGCCAACAGGCAAGTTGGCAAGCTGTTTTACCTGTGTTTTCTGATGGTCTACTACCAGTTTTTTCTGCTTCAGAGGAAAAAACATGGAACGCTTCAGCACTTGTAAAAAGCTCATCAGCTTCCTTGCAAGTAGAAGTGAAGCATCAACTTCTCTTCTACTTGAAGAAAGTAAAAGGCCTAAGGTCTTAGTCACTTTACTCAAACAAACAAAAATTTTAAAAAATAGGATTATTTTGGCTGTCATAATAAAGATGCTGTACAATACTTGAAAATTAAGATCTGTTCAAGAATGACCAGTATTTAAACAAAGCAAGACGACCAGATGGAAGGGACAAAATAACGGAAGATGACAAAACCTTGCGAAGACTGAGATGCTTCTTGCAAGTAAATGACTCCAGCTACGACGGACTCTGTCTTCATGTCAGAACAGACTGCAGCCAAGAGCAAGGATGAAATAGATACTCTGGGAAATTTTTCAAATAACGTATTTGCTGCAGCATGGCAAGAGTGAGTCTACAGGCCAAAAGTCATATATTGATACATTGCTATTTACATGAAAGTTTCTGATAGTTAACCAGAACAATCCAAGCCAAGATGCCAAAGAAATCTCAAGAGCTGTAAGGCTGAGGGACCAATCTAGCAACTAATTGGGTACTTCACATAAATGAACAGTGCCCTTTCAGTTCACATTTAAGTCTGCCTTTGTATGATGCTAGAGCAATGAACTCTACTTATTCTTGAAATCATTCTACATACTTTTACTTACACCTCAAAACAATGTAGTTCGGCACTGTCTCCTTTCTTACATGGTACCTTGCGTATTAGTCTGTAAAGTATCTGTGACATTTGGATCTGAGGGGATATTTCTGAAAACCCATTAATTTTTATTTCCATTATACTTCTAAGGGAGAAAGAGATTCAATGAATTAAACACATGTAAAGAAAATATAGTAGAGGCAGAAGCTGAACCCAGAATATATCTGGTTAATATCTAAACCAGAAGAACACAACAGATTTTATTACCTTTTTATTGACGTGACTGAATAAACAAGAATGTAGCCATTGATGTCTATGGAGTACGTCTGAGGAAATATGGAGTATTCATCCTGTAGAAGGAATATTACATTTAAAATTACTTACTGCCACAGTTCAGAACTTGATGCTAGCAGATCACCGACAGTTAAGTTGGTCTATTTGTAAGACATAAGGTGCAGGACCATTTTGTATAGGTAGTACTTTCAGAATTACATTTTTTCATCATAATGCCAGATGAGGAATCTTTACCAAATTACAAGAAAGCTGAGTCAGCCTGCGTACTCTAAAATTTAATCTACATATTTTTTGGTTTATTCCCTCTAGACTATGGATCAGCTAAAGCTACTCCCAATCCTCTTATCTGCTTAATTATCAGTTTGTATCAGTACAAAACATCCACTCAGTCCTACCACTAATTAGCAATTATGTCTCTTATCTTGCTAGCAATACATTTCAAATTCCTAATTTCAAGAGCTGACAACAGGATCTAGCAGTTCATAATTTCCAGTGACACTGATCACATCTAAATTACCTAAGGGGTCTGTTAGGAAGTGAATAACTGTGGCTTACCAGCTAACTAATGCTTATCAACTGTAGATGCAAGAAATACAGCTATTAGTTGCTTTATGACAACTAGACGTTTACATTGAATGACAAGTGTTTAATTAAAAACAAAAACAAAACCCACAAAACAACAGAAAATTGATCACTGAATTTACTACCCCTGTAGAAAAGGAACTGACCAAATAGGTAAATGGAACAGACTTTGCAGGAAATGCTACACAAATACTGTGAATCCCATGTTAAAAATCTAAATCGTTCTAATAGATGTTCCCAGGAAACATTTCCATTTTGACAAGAGCCATACTTCTTAATGTACGAGTTCTCAATTTTTTAAACCTATGCTTCTTAAGATGTTAATTTTAGCTTAAGATCACATAACCTCTCTGTACATTGTCATGACTGAACAGATGGAGCAGTGCAATCACACAGCTTAAATCTAGAGAACCAAAAGGAATCAAACTTCCGTAACTGGCAAATGAGGAAAAACCCTTTATAAATCAACTTCACAGATGCAGCCAAAAAAGTTTGAAAGAATAACACTTGACAAAAGATGCCCTTATTTGCCTTTATTGCTATGCACTGAGGGCAGCCCTCCCCAATCTTCGCTGAAATGCCAAACTGCCACTTCAGTTGGCTGTGTAATCCCAATGTCAATACAGAAGGGATCTGAGCTAGTCTGCCTGTAAAACAGGTGAAAGTGCAACTCTGTAGTTGTTTGACTTTACCCGGAATTTCTCAGGATTGCCCCAGCTGGAATTTGGTGTTAGGTAAGATTTCCTTTTGCACTCCTCTTCTGTGATCCTGTACCAAGACTCCTGTTTAACTGAACTACGCAAATCCGAATAGATAACCATGAAAGGTAAAGACACATGGGACAGAAGAGGAGTACCAAGAAAAGTAAGTGCCATAACCTCAACTGTTTCTAATCCATTACTTAATATTTAGCTTGTTAGCAGAAGGAAGAAAAGCTACTATGCTTCCTGGAACTTGTGGGTCAAATTAAGAACTTCGCCAAGTGATTAAACAACGTAGCTATAACTCTTCAAGTCATAGCCAAGTTTTCAAGTATGTACAAATCTAATCCTTGCTATGCTGTATACACAAAGACTCCCTATGGATCATTAAGCAAGACAGACTTGAGAAAGAAATCTGTTCAAGCCACACCTTCCATAACCCAACATCATCTCTCCCCTCCGACCCTGTGAGCCGGAACTCAAAGTTCAAGTCATTCACAGGAAGAATCAAATCTGAAAATAACCACAGGCTGAGAAAGAAGTTATTTTGGTTTTACAATACTGCACAATATCAAATCAACCCTGAAAATAAACCTCAGCAATAGAGGTATGTTACCAGTGAAGTTACACTGCCTTCCCAGATGGCCATTTCTTCCTCAAAGAGAATTTTTACATTTCCAATTGTAGCATAGTGATAAAAGTAAGGCAAGCAGACTTATATTGGCACAAAGTGAAACCTATGGAGCTTGCTCTGCTGCTCACACTTCACAGCCTGCCCATCTCAACCCTGCACTCCTCTGCAGAGTATTTCCCATCAAACAATCTTGCCCCAGCACGTGTCGCCAGTATTGTGTTTTTAATCACTTGAGACACCTCTGACAGCTTATAAGTGGATATAGTGTTGCTGATTAGTACCACAAGCTGACACCATATAAATACAGCATGGTTATTCTTAAATCATGTGGTTCTCTTCAAAGAAAGCGATCAAACATACCTAGAGGGTTACAACCCTTCTGAATAGTGTCCCAGCTACGTGCAAGTCTCCTGCAGCTTTAAAGTCTTAAGTACTGGCAGCATATTTTACAACACTAAGATTGTTTAACACTAATCATAGTTCGGAAAAACCCAAAGGCATAATATCGGAACTCATAGAAGGTAAGAATATATAAGCAATAAAAAGTTTAAGATAAAAGTACAGGGCTTTAACACTCTGTTTTCTGGTTTGGTGGGGGGTTTTTTTCCTTTCTTTTTTTCTTCCTTTTTTTTTTTTTCCCCCCCCCCTTTTTTAATATGGAGTCTTTCAAAAGACGGAGCACTCCTGTGCATGGAACGTGCACTGCAAGTTCAGCCAAGCAGCACTGCATAATGAACACCTCTACTTCATGAAGCTACTGACCATGCCACAGGACACGTGTTCACCAGCTCCTCCTGCGCTCCCCATCATTACATGAAGCTCAGAAGCATGCACAAATCATCACTTACTTAAAAATGTAAACAAACTGCAGTAATTTATTGGTAGCCCATTAAGTACTACCTATATGCGTTTCTGTCCACTCCCCATGACTATTTCATAAGTCATGGTGGTGTAGCTGGAGCACACAAATAGCAGAAAGTAATGAAAAACTTCTCCATGGTTTATTGAAGTGACATTTTCCATCTAAAGCAAGACTGCTAGTTTAGTCTGTAAATATCAAGCAAGCTACTTATGAACTTTCGGTACATCAGAGTTAAGGCAGTTCCTTCTTCACTGTTTTAGGCACACGTTCAATAGGCAGGAGAAAAAAGAAAAGAAAAAAAAACCACAAAGGAGGGAAAAAACCCAACACAAAACCAAACCCAACAAAACCATTTAAACAAACACTACAGTAACATTGCTCTTCGGTGACTACATGACAAGGCAGAATCATGTATGTTAAACTTTAGCTTTGAGCACATGGTTGCTACCAACCTAGCTCTACGGTAGTATGAATACTTGTCTTAACTCTGAAGAAACATTCAAAGAAAGAAAGATAACTTACTTGGCCAGCAGTGTCAACCAGCTGGAGATGATATTCTTGGCCATTCACTGTGATCAGTTTTGTAAAAGCTAGAACAAATGAGAAATACATACACATTTCAGAACTATAAACAATGAAGGGATCAGAAGTCACTCACCTATGCCATCATCAGCCAATGCACTAAGAAAAAGAACTTCAGTTATAGGCTTTAAAGTAGCAGTAAAAGGCTACATCAGATGGCTGTACTCTTAACACACATATTACAGACAACAAAACTCTGAAATTTGAAATTTTGAAGTAAATTTCTGAAGATTCTCACATTGGATGCAGCAGTTTTTCCTTTACTTACTTAGAAATGCGTGTAAAAAGCCTTTTTACTCTTTCCTTCTAAGAGACTTCCAGGCAACAGTAATTTGTGGTAGCACAAGAAACTTAAATACAATTAGCATCAAAGCTAACTTTGAACTTATTATAGGGTATTTTCCTCAGTTTCCAAGCAGTTTAGCAAAATCAATTTCCTAAATGTAAATACCATGAGGTAAATGATCTGGATTAAAAAAAATTCTTTGAGGGCGAAACCACACAGCCTAACTTACGAATACACTAAACCTACACAACGAGAATTTAGCTAGAAGCTCACCATGTTGCTACCAGCCTATCTAGTCCTCAGTCAGGAAGTACATTCAGTCCCTGAAAGTGATGAGAATCGCTTCTCTTCCTCGGATTCATGAAATGCCAACGCACCGTGAGCTGAGGAATCTTACTCAGTGTTTGTATTATGCAACTGCAAAAGCAAACAGCGTCACAGCTCTTGTAGGAATAATGTACTACCGAGCACTACGTGTACCAACCAGAGCACGCAAACCTGGCTGCAGAGCTTCACTTTGGCCTTAGTGTTCCACTCAAGACACAATTACTGGACAGTACCGATACATTGAGTAAAGTTTGTGTTGTCCTCTGGTTGAGGTGCTTTTCCCAAATACTAACAGTCCTAAGAAGCTTCATCTTTCATTGCAGTGATGAGCAGGGCAACAGCTAATGCTGCAGTGACCTTTTCATCATGCTCTAAATTGTCCAACAGTTTCCCCGAAGCTGCAAAGTTGAATGTTCTCAATCCCGCCGTGCAGCCTCCTGCCTACGCCTTCTGGGTTTTGTACAGGTCTCCTAGAAGCTGAAGTTTGCCAACTTTCCTCCTCCCCGCCAATGCTCGTTGCGCTGTCAAGTCTCCACAATGTGAGTATTATCTTGAGTAAGTGGGCTAAAATATCTGAAACTGGAGGTTTCAGCCCGCCTAGTAAATCAAAGCACCCTTTTTAAAAAAAGGAGGAATTCAAACAGCAAAGCCAAACTATGTAAAACAATGCAAAGCGTACCTACAGTTTCCATTACAATACTAACAAGTGTAATTTGAAATGAAGCCTCAAAGAGAGAGCTCCTACCTTACCCTATCTATCCCCTAAGAAAGCTGCTTTAGCACACGTGCATGCAAGCTGCTCTCAAGTCTGGACGCTGTTGTCATTGCTGCACAAAATTTTAGGGTTATGAAGCAAGAATTCACAACAGCTCTTTGCCTTGGATGAATACTGAGGTGGGGACAGAAGCAACCGTTTGTTTGAACAGATGTTAACATGCAGCGTTGCTATATACGTATCACTGCTTCAAGTCAGAGGGAAAACAGACTCATCTGGAGACATATTGCATTAACAGGTATATTAAAAGTAAGTGTCTCTCTCTAGTCTCTTGACACTTCACATACACAACAAAAGCACTCTGCAATCAAAGTAGCTTCAAGAGCCTCATGAAGTTAATATTTAAAAAGGGACAGAGACAGATGGCAGCTTTTTCAGACTATTCTAGAAGCCTAGAATAGACCCAGCAAAGACATCATCATCATCGGTACTGGAAGCAGAGTGTGACAGAGCCAGGGGAAGGGAAACAGTGGAGGAGTCACCACAGACTGGGTGAGGAGAACTGTTGGTTCAGTGCAGAGGCTTGTAGCACTAGGAACAGCCCACTGCAAGAACACAAATCTAGTTTGACGCAGTCATAATTAATGACTCCCATTTCTTTGCTGAAGCTTTTTAAAAATATTCCTGGTAAGAATTTCATCTTGGGAAAAACTTGCAGCTGTATTAAATGTGATTAGTGATCCACAGGTCACAGGTCCCCTTGATCCAGGGGAAGTCTTCACTTCCAATTCCATCACCTACCATCCTAGGACATATTGCCTTCTGCTGTGCCTATGAGCAGGACAAAGACAACCAATAATATGATCACAGCACAGTATGGCTCCTCCTGGTATGCCAAGGACAGATTTCAGCAGACCTGAACAGTATCTGCAGTCCTAGTCACAACGTGAGCATCTGCGAAACGCTAGTCATCAGCTGACGCATGGGTAAAGCTTGTTTTAGTTCGATGAAACACACAGATCTCAGAAAAGGACATACTTACAGCTTGCAACACATAACTCGAGTGTAGCTATAGGAAGAGAGCTGCAATCCCTACCTTCACCTACAAATGTTCCCAGTTCTGATGCATTGCTGAAAGTTGGACAATTTCGTGCTGCAGTGAACAGCACAGCACCAAACAGATATATGCATACAGTTAAGGGTGCAGCAGTCAACAGCTGCATTGCGAAGAAAGCCACTTTGCCATCAGAGAAAGTTCTGGTAAAATTACATGCAGCGCGTAACCCTGATACAGCTCAGCAAAAATGTAACTTAGTGGCAACTCCATCAGCTGCTGATCATCGTTACCCTAAGATCAAGTATACTTCAATTAGACTAACATGAATAAAATCATTTGCATACGCAACTCAAATGACAGCTGCTGTAAAAACAAGCCATTATGATAAAACCACCAGTACCAGGCATACGAATGCAGGCTTTTAAATCAATAGTGCTACTGAGTAAAGGTATGAGAGTGGTGTAACATTATACCCATAGAGTTACTGGCTGGTAGCTAAATACAACCGCCTCATAAGGGTTCCTCAGTTACTACCTTCTGCATCACTTCCTACTTGTCTTCATTCCAAAGTCAATGCCTGTCACTAATCTGTCAGGACATTCTTTTACAACACCGAGATGTGTAATGCAACAGAGCTATTTTTAATTTTTCTCAGAAGCTTCACTTCCACCCCTTGAGAAGGCTGCTCATCAGCAACTCCTGTGAAGAAGCATACCTCACTCTTCCAGTGCAGCTGCCATGACAGGCATTGAAGAAGTTTAGCCTTAAAGATGCTTCTAGCAGACCCATCTAAACCTATAGGTATCCCCTCCACAACTACTGGGGTGCCTCCAGCCCCCTCCCCCTTTCTAATATGCTTCTACTCACAACTGTATTAAAAAACATGGGATGGCAGTAGGAAGCCCTTGGGGGAAGACTGTTGCTTCCCTCTCGGGAGCTACTGAGCCAGTTTAGAGGAGAAAGGAAGACCACAGAGCTGCGGCACAATGCTAGAAGCCTCTCCAAAACTGCAAGGAAAAGCAGAAAGCAACCAGGCAGGGCTCAGAGGAGCTGAAGAAAACATTTTTGAGACTCGGGCAGTCAAATCAGCTTTCCTGCAACACAAAGTCACTGAATTAATGACAACCAAAGACATCCTTGCAAAGATGGGGGTGGGGGTAGTTACGTGCACATCTTCATTATCTATTCCTTCTGACCTATTTGCTTTGAGTTCCAAATTAAGATTCTACTTTTTAATCCAGTAAAATTTTTTGAGTTTTAAATTGTTTTAGTCTTAGCTCATCTAAGCTAATCTGCCTTCAGAGCCCCCATCCAGCTCAGCGTCCACACAAAAAAACCTTCTCTTTCCAACACTCCTGTAAGTAATCGGTTTCTCAACCTGTCTCAAGAATAGCCACCCACCATGGCGTCACTCCTGTTGGGACATTCAGAAAGGGAAATTCTGTTTTGCTAAGCAATTAACTCTCACCTCTGCTGCTGCCACAAAACACTACAAGTTACTCTACCTGATACACAAGTTCAGTAGAAGCAACTGAATTCAGCATGCTCCTTAACTTAAATAAACTAACTTTTCTGGTTCTAATGTAATATAAGCAAAGGAAAATGCAGAAGTGAAGTAGTGTTGACTAACAAACACTAAGTGAAATCTGATGCAGCTTATTTTCCTTTTACCGATTCTACGGAAGGTAGAGATTTTTACACTGGAAAAATGAAACTACTAGAATATTAGGTCTTATTCCTATAGTTCAAGGCTTTTATGCTATGGAACTTGTTCCTCTAAGAGCTTAACTATAGCTTGCCTTCTATACAATTTAGCTTTAGACTCTTTTTTTGTGCAAGTTCTATTATTCGAAGACAAAAATTATAAAGATTAAGCTACCAGCTGTACTGCAACTTTCTACCCCTTCATCAGTGCTGGTAGAATACTATAGTAAGTTATCAGCAACAATTTTCTGGAGACAAAACAGAAATCACATAGGCCAGACTATTCTTCAGCCTGTATTTTTTTCATTTCCAAGTTTTGTGACACTAAAGTAGACCCAATCACTAGATGAAACGGAAAAGGTTTTATAACCTGCTGTAAAGCACTGGAAAAATGCAACATTCTCCAACACCGCCCCTAGTATAGGAACCTGGACTTCTCAATGCCTTTTGCCAGCATTGTCAACCAGATTTGAAATTACAAGCTAGGAAAACAATAAAAAAGTTGATTACGTACTTCGTGTCTTATGACCCTGCCCAGAATCAGAAACATACAGCTGGGAGTGTCAAAAGACTGGACTGATCAAAGATTTATATTTAGAAAAAGCACTTAAAAAAAGCTTAAGAACTTAAGTCAAAAGAATGATTTCATACAAACCCCATCAAAACTAGTTTCACATGTCTGTTTTAAAAAAAGATACCTTCAATATATTTTAAATTTTAATAGTAAATTTGGAAGCGTTCTCTTCTGTTCTTCACAGAAGCATTTTTAAAACATTCTCTCTATCAGGCCTTACAGGGCTGTCGTAGTTTAACCACAGCTGGCAACTAAGCCCCACACAGCCGCTTGCTCTCTCCCCTCTGCTGGGATGGGGGAGGGGATCGGAAGGG